CGAGTTTTTATGAAAGATTTCACGGGGTGGCGAAAACTGCAGTGACCAAACTGTAGCCCAGAAATGTACCTGAGAGAGCTGCAATTGTGAAAGAGTAGGATCCTGTTTATTGAACCTCACTCAAGTCGATAGAACATATATTTTTTATTAATTTCTAAATTGTTTGACAACATTAATTTCTTCTAAAAAATTTTGGAAATTTGTAACATGGGACAAGCTCATTTACCTTGTAAAGATTATAACAAAGAAAAAAGTCCTTGATATAAGTGAAGAGATTGGTTTCTTGATGTGATCAGCTGAAGACAAATTCTTTAGATTAATTATCATTATTTTCTTGTAGAGGCTACATATTAATATTAGTTTTGCTGCTTAGTAAATGTCTTGAGGGATGAATTCTTGGATTCTTTAGTCATTTTCAGTAAAGCCTTCATTTACTAATCATAATTTTTATCCGTCCTGCATTTCATGAATTTGTTTGAACCCAACATTGCTTTGATTTGAACTTTTCATAACGAACAAAAGATGACAGAAGAAAGAAACGTTTTACGAAAACAATCCTTTTTAGAAAATCAACAGCAGTGTTTTTGGATATTTTCTGTAAAAAATACAGTTGTTTCTTTTCATATCCGTAGAGTCCAAGTGTGTAGCCCATGTATTCTTTTACCACGAAGCTTCTCCTTTAGTACGGAGTTCGCATTTTCAGAAATTTTTTCATCATGATGGTTAAGTGTGTATGAAAATAAATAGATTAGACGCTGAAGTTTCTTGTAACTCCTTTTAATTTAGTATTCCAATTTGCCTTGTGCTCTTCCTGCTGGTGTGAAGTTTCTTCTAGTTTATATTTTCTGTTTAATTTTTTATAAAATAAATGAGTTAGAATAAGGAACTTAAATGCATTTGATGGGTATTTTCTTCGCAAAAACTTCGAAATATCACAGCCTACCCAAAACCAAGGTTAATAGTCTAAAGCATAAGGTTTGCTATATGTCTGATACTGTGAATAGGTTGATTTGCTCCAGCCTTGGAACTGATCGCTGCCTCAGAACAGCAGTTTTGAACAAAAAGAAGTCAGTACAACATGATCAGAATATTTGAACACTATTGCTTACATCCGGCTTACATTCGACTACCTAACTGTCGCAGCCATCAGTTCAGATTCAGTAGGAGAGAAGTCTTCAGCACCACAATGGTTAACTATGCATTCCAGGTCCTTCACCAGCTGAAGTAAATTCATCCAAGAAAATAAATAATCGGTAAGTAAAATGCAAAAGTTTCAGAGAGTTAATGCTCATTCTTCTCTCGAGTTTGGTTGAAGAGGAATATCACCTTATTTATCGAGGGTCGACTATTGGGATCCCAGCTAAGGCATTTATCTGTAACACGAACCATCCAATATAGCTGGTAAAGATCAACACTATCCTGTACTACGGGATCAATCAATTCCATGTACTTCTTCTTTCTCAAGGATGGTCTTGCCTGCCAAGAAATGAGATTATTAGTTGTCTGATTTCGAACAATTGACTACAAAATAAGAATGTTGAAGCCATTACCCATCTCAAGAAGCTTTGGCCATCGGTATCTTCAATCGTCTTTCGACCAGTGATCAGCTCGAGAAGGACAACCCCAAAGGAATATACATCTGCTTTGCTCAAGTCTATCCCAGTTCCTTCATATTCTGGTGGCAAGTATTCGAAAGTCTTTAGCACCCTAGTTTCCGAAGACAGATCAATGTCTTCGTATTGACTTCTAGCAAGCCCAAAATACGACAGCTGGTCCATTACAGAGAATAGTGGCATAAGAGACATTAATTTTGCTTAAAAAGCAATTCAATGCAATCCAGAATAGGATTAACAAATTAAATTTACCAGTGGATGGTAATCATGTGTAATGAGGATGTTACTTGGCCTCACACTTCCATAACTCTGTTTTCCATGTAAATATTCCAAACCTTTAGCTGCTCCATGAGCTATTTTTATTCTTCTTTCCCACGTGAATTCCCTCCTTTTGTCTGCATAAACAAGTACTGAATAAACGTGTTCGTTCTTTAACATCCTAAGCGCTTAAATGAGGTGGTTCAATAATGCCTTTACCAGATAGATGTTTGTTCAGAGATCCATTGCAGACAAATTCATAGATTAGTAACCTATGCGTTCCTTTTGCAAATGATCCTAAGAGCACGGCCACATTTTCGTGTCTGAAGTTTCCAAGGATCTGAACCTCTGTCTTAAAGTCATTTTCTTTAATGGTTTTCAAAGGGTGTTCTCTTATCGTAATTAGCTGTAGATCATTTAATTGACCTCTATAGGTTCGCTTCCCTCGAATAGGTAACAAATTTTTCTCAGAAAAGCCATTTGTTGCCAAATGCAGCTCAGCATAAGTGAAGTCTCTTGTTTGTCCACCAATCCTTGGCCTTCTGTTCATGCACACTGAACAAACAGAATTTTCAAATATCTCTTCTTCTTGTTCGTCTGCACATCAAAATGGATAAACTTTCCGCTCATGAATTCTCTAAAGTATATATGAAACGGTATGGACCTTATTCACTTACAAGTTTCTGTGTTAAAATGTGTGCCTAAGGACAATCCACTAACTTCAGCAGCCTCGAATCCTCTCACGGTCTCAACGCTACTATCAGTTTTCATCCTATATATTGCACAAGATAGGTTGTCCATGAAATATTTCTTATTTTTCTTGAGGTCCCTGTGGAAATCAGATTGGAACAAACCAAGTATGAGTTGAATTTGAAACAAATTACCTAAAAACTCACTGAAAATTACAGTGTACCTTGGAAGGATCACATGTGTAGCTCCATAGCTTTTGGCATATTCCACGGCGACCTCTTTTAGCGACCCCGCCTCGACTGCTATGTCAAAATCAACCTACATGTACATAAATAAAATTTCATAATTTAGAGAGAAGCACAAATCTCGGACCTGTGAATGGAGATATTTGATTAATATGTGATCGATGGAACACTAAATGTTGAAAAGTTATATTCATGTTATAGCACTAATAACCTTTTGTGTTTCAGCCTGCCTCCGAATCCTTGCAATATGTGAACATCTTGAATATTCATCTATCATCTGTTGAACTTCTTGTTTGATGTCTTCTTTTTTCTTATTAATCGTTACACTCGAATGCAACCTGCCTTTAAATCGTATAGAAAACCAACAACCTATTCAGAAAACAGCACCAACAAACAAAATCCAAGAAGTTTATGTAAATTTTGAAAGCAATTATTTTTAAGAAATCCAAGAATTAGTACCAATTCCACAACGTGGAGGATAAAATCTGTTGACAGTCCTGAAAGCTGGTATAATTCCAAGAAGCTTGACTTTGGCGCCAGGCGTAAGTGACAAGCTGAGCATGGCTTCTCTAATGGAAACGGTACGTAGTTCTATTGATGCATCTTGTATAATTAGCACCTTCTGATTGTTTGTACACATTGGTTACTGCTAGATGTTGAATTGCACCTTCAGAAACAGAAGATTAATGATTCAACACGGATTTTACACATGAAATCTAAAAAACTTCAAAAAATTAACTATTCTGCCATATCCCATGCACACTTTTATCATTTTGTTTTGGATTTTCAAGTTTATTTAGCTATGATGAACCGAACATAGTGGCTAAAAGAATTCACGCAGCTGACTACTTCATATTGTTTATTACTAATAATTTCAATTCAAATAGTGGCAAAAAGAAAAGATACTTGGCTGCATAGAAACATTTTTCTACTATTTCGGCCAAAAAAGCTTCAGATGTATGTTCTTAGCAAGCAGAAAAAGCTAATAATCAAAGAACTAGGCAATCTATAAACATCTCTATAAAACTTTACTTTATATTCATAACCAAAGATAATATAGTACCCAAAATTCAAATAAAATGATTTTAAAGGGACAAAATGCAATCAAAAGAATATGAAATTCAAGCCAGAAAATACCTATCAATTTGGAAAGAGTTGGGTTTTGAATATTGAGGTTCTCTCAAGCTTGTTTGGACAAATATTTTGAATCTTCTATGAAGATTTTTTTGTTGATTTCTATGTTATCTTTCTTGTCTAAATTTGTTTAAAAAGTTCAGCAGTTTGTAATATGGACAAGCCCAAACTTTGGGTAGTGAATAAAACTAAGAAGAAATTCCATCATAAACGAATGCATTGGTAAGTCGATACGCTTTCTACTGTAATTTCTATGAGTGTTGTTTGGTCCTGTTTCTTTCTGCTTTGCTTCGAGTTGAATTTTCCCTTTTTATTTTCTAGTTGGGGCAAACATATTTTGTTGCTACTTGGTAACTGTCTCGAGGGATGGATTCTTGTAATCTTTTTGTCCTTTTCAATAGTTCCTCATTAGTAATGGACGCAGAAAATGTATATAACTATTAAGGCCAAGGAGCTATGAACGATTCTTATTCGACCAAGTTCTAGGTTCTAGGTTGCATCATGCTTATTAACCAATAGTTGAGAAACAACATAGGGATAACGTCAACATATATGAACACGTGTCTCAGGACAGGTTCGCTGCCCTAACTAGCCAACTATATTAAGTCTCTGCTTGATAAAATTAAAATCAAATTTTATCAGATTTTGACAGAAATATGAATTCCATAAAATGTATTATTAAAATTAATTGTTTAACTTAAACTTAGATTTTAATCAATTTTTTTTTGGCGATACCAAACAAGGGCTGAATAAGAGAAACGTGACAAAATTTAACTTGTATTCTTCCGAATCCATCATACGAACATGTCATTATTTTTTGCGGTAAGTCAAGAAAGTTGATGAGCAAGTTCCTATGGACGTGTCTAATGCATAGGACTAAGCCACACTACATAACGACGACCAACATTTTAACTTTTTCTTTTCCTTACTACTGCACAATGCTTTCAAACCCAACACCACCATCGGCACGAGAGTCTTTAAGGACAAAATATTGAGTGCTTTCCGTAGGCTAAGCTAATCTACGAGTACCCTACCGCTACTACAGTAATGAACAATTCGAGACAGATAAAACCACCAATTTGCATTGAAATAACTAAAAGGATTAGGTGTTTGCATACATAGCAATGGGAAATATGCCACGTCTAGCGACAATGGTATTACAAAATTAATTAGCTCATCCACCAGCTAATCAAAGCTTAAATCCACTATATTCCAAGCGGAGTTAGATACTTGGGAATCAACGTTCACCAGCTGCTGCCACCGGCCCATCCATCATTACCAGATTGTGATTGTCCGGAACTCTTTTTGCTGCCACCCCATCCGGATTTACCACCACCTGCATCATCAACATCATCTGAACCACCGCCGCCGCTTCCCTGCCCCCAGCCGCCACCAGAGTTGCCCCAGTCACTGCCTCCGCTTCCACCACCACTTCCAGCCCCCCAGCTACCAGGGAAAGCTTCCCGGCCTGGTGAATTCTGAACTTTTGCTCCAGGAAAACTACTCCATCCGCCACCATCATCACCATCCTTAGAACCCCACTTCTGTGATCCATGGTCCGAATCCTGCCTGTCATTGCCTCTGCCACCTCGGCCACGCCCACGCCCACGGCCTCGGCCGCGCCCACCATCACGCCCACCATATGGTCTAGGTGCTCCACTTGGATGCCCATCCTGATTGCCACCATTTCTGTAGTCACCTCTCCCTGTAACCAAACAAAACTAGACAGATTAAAACATGGAAGGACAAAATTAGAAAAAACTCAGGTCACCAACAAAACGAAGATAGGATACTCAGTAAAACTGAAACTAGAAATAAACCCAAGAATCTTTCAACAACTGCAGGTCATGTCACGCTTTATGAACCACACCTCTAGAAATCTGTCTCAACCTCCAACCCCATCCCTTAAACAGTACTGCCTTCTCGGCCTCTCCACCCCACAAAACACAGGCCACCTCTCTCGCAATTAAAACCCACCCCAAGTCAGTCATCCAGACATATCTCAACCCTCAAACCAATAGGTTCCTGTCAATTGTTAGTTCCTTAGGCACAGGTTATCAACCTAGCTAGAGAAGAAAAACAAAATATACAATTTAAAAGTTAATAAAAATATATAAAAAATCAACTCAATATTTTATTTTCAGAGAAACTAATATATAAGATAGGTCCCATATGGCAAGGAGTTAAGACATTATCCATAAGAAATCTTTGCAGCGGTGAAGTTGTAAAAGTGGGTTCTTCCTTTCCACAGAACTTATCAACCAAAACCACATCCCACTCTTGTGGGTGAAGGATTGGGGATGAAGTTTACTTGTGGGACTTAATTAACATTTTCAATAGACTGTTTGTATAGAAGGTGGAGAGGGGCAGAAGGGAAAATGTGAAAACCCATCAAATTTACTAGTCTTGTCCACATCAAGAGCCAATTAAAAAGTAAGCTACAAAGCAAAGTATGCAAAGAGTTCTTGCAACAGCAAGTTTAGCGTTAACGTAGTAAAAGTAAAGTTGTAAGTTAGCAAACATAACATCTGAAGGCAGACTCACACAACCAATCACTCAAAGGATGCGTGAAATGAAAAAAAAACCTTACAATAGTTGCATTGAATATCATGTGTACATAGTGCTGCAAGCATAAATAAGTTCTTCTAGCATTACCTCCCGAAGTTCTATCTCTGTCTGAAGACTGGCCTCCTCTCCATCCACCATCATTCCCTGAACCACCCCAACCACTGCCAAACCCCGATGAGCCCCCAGTTGCAGGACTTCTAATTGGCACCATAGCAGCAACTGATCGAATAGATGGCGAATCATGTGGATCATCAATGTGTCTCTGAAAATATGCTACAACGCGATCAATGTCCTCAAACATTCTTTTTCGGAACTTAAATCCCTTCGGATAAATACCTATGTACTCATGATGTGGATTTGAACTACGTATATAAGTCAGTATGAATGTGCCAGGATGTTCATGGGATATCCCAAAGCAATACACAATCCTCATTGGGTACTCCGATTTCTCAATCCTTAGGAACTCATCAACTTCTGCTTTATTGCCCTTCTTGAACTTGCGGTAGTTTAGCATTGCCTTCAAATGGGATACTAATGGATCCACGTAACGATCCATTACCTGAATCAAGAACAAAAAACCATGATCTTTCAGATTTGTAAAGAAAACGTAGAAAACAAAGTTAATCAAATAGGAAGTATAAAACACAATTTAGAACCTGTGGTGAAGATTCTACATCATACCTCAGGATTTAATAATGTTGGAAAAAGTAGATTTCTAACAAGTGGATTAAGTTGAGAAAATGCACCCGTTCTAGAAGTAATTAAATTAACGAGTGAAAAGATATGAAGACGAGATAATATCAAACAAGTGGAAAAAAGAAAGTCTAGACCAAGGAATACCCTGAACCTTTATTCCAGCCTAGGTATTTCACCAAACTAAAACTTGAAAAATGAAATAAAGAGAGAAGGAAGCGTTTGTTTTCTTTCCATGCTTCAGAAATACAGCAAAAATGATTGAATTTATATTGACAGAGGTAGATTTCTAACAAGTACACTGAGAACAAAATCTGTCTGTAGGAAGTATCCAATTTACAAGTGACCACATTATCAAAATAAAAGTAAAAATGTCTTAAACCAAGCATTACGCAGATCATTCTTTTTTCCTAGTTATTTTCACCAAACTAAAACTTGAAAAGTGCATCAAAAAAGGAGAGAAAAGTTTGCTATCTTTCCAAGCTTCTGTAATATGGAATAATCAGCTATAACGATAGAAAAATATGCTAATACTCATACATAGACATGGCAGAACTATATTGAGAAACATTTCTAAAGCATGGCAATATATCTAGCAGTTGGCAGCATTCTGGCATATCTTCTAATCAATACTGGCTAGATTGCATTACCCCAGAGACATCAGCAATTCTCAGTAATGAAACACTTGAGAAACTTACCTCATCTAAATCTTCAAATGTATCCTCTCCAATTTTCAGTGTCTTCCCTATTCGAAGCAAGCTTGTTATATCCTTGTGATCCTTTCCACCTTCAACAATGTCCTTGTGAGCATAAACATCATCATAAACTTTAAGAGTTAAAGTCAAAAATGAAGGTCCCCGAGAACTTGGACGTATAACACTTTCACCAGGCTCCTTGTCAGACAGTAACTGTACCAAAAAAACAACAACAAAACAGAGGTGGTAATTAGAACATAATTACATAAACAAAAACCCAGAGGTGCTAATTATATCACAACTTATGAATATCTTAACTCTAATAGGAAAATTTCACACTGCATCCTACCTAAAATCACACGTTATAGCTTTAAGTCACAGAAATGTAATAGATTCTTATGTTAAAGCGTTTCTGCAATAAATGGAAGGGCATACTTCTATGAAATTTTATGAGGGGATCACCTCAATGTGAGCAATCACTTTCTACTGAAAAAGAGTACCTAAATAAGTCGAATCCTACAAATGAAACATGTAATCAAGAAACATAAACATGCGACTTCAGACATCCCCTAATCGATGCACACACGTTACCTAGTGTTATGCGCATGTTACCTGTACATCACGTTACCATATACTCCTGCAAATACAACTCCACTACATAATATGCCAAGATGTGTATTTATGCATATGTAGCACAAACACAAAAGGTCGTTTCTTGAAAGAATCTAACAGTAGTAACAACCTCCATTGCTTCATCAGCAGTAATATTCTGAAAACGTGGATGAACTATCATCCTAGGCTTGAAATGCTTCTTAGCAAGCTCCTTCTCTTTACGAGATTTTTCCTGCTGACTCTGCAAGCCGCTGCGCTCTTCATGATAATACGGATCCATGTTTTGATGATTCTGGAAGCGGTTATTTCTCATTTCACTCTCTTTACATGTTAAAAAAACCTGACATCGATTTTTCTGAATTGATTTGATTATGCAACTTAAAATATCGCCTTCACGCAGCTTGTCAGTCAGCTCATCAATATCCTTCCAATCATCCGTGTAGTCTTCCTTATTAAGCAAACCTGTCAATCCAGATTCAAGGATACAAGTTGCTTTCTGTGCTAGAACTCTGCGAACTGTTGCCTGCACAATTCTTCCTTCAGACAATGTTTCTTCTGTCTCTCCAGAAATCATGAAAAACTCATCATCTTGAGTTGGTTCTACATATGGTCTGCGCCAATCTTGAAAGCCTTCCATCAACTCCAATCTTATATCATTAAGGGTTTCTTTTTTGTTCAGACGGTTCTTCTGTTCAGCATATTCGTTGATATCAACTGACCTTAATAGATTTGGCTTTTCTCTAACATGCTCAATTGCCATTTCTAGCATTTCTTCATCATCATTTGCATCATCATTGCCATCCTCCCTATAAATATCTTTGGCCAACTCTTGTGCAAGGCCATAGGACTCTGGATGTATCCTCGTGTCATCCAACAAATCAATAAATTGACTACTGCTAGAAGTCAATCCACTGCGTCGGACTCGCAGGAATCCAACTGCATTGACAAACACCTTTTTACCAAGACCATGAGCTGTCAGTAGGTCTTTTCTAGTAAAAATTGCTCCTGCTCTTACTAAAGACCTCTGCAGAGATGCTGCTTTTCTAGGTCCAAGCCCAGCAATAAACTGCAGAGGAGCAAACAGCCATTCATGACTAGCAGCCAAATTGATATCAAGACCCACTCGGTTTGTTACATCCACCATAACTTCTTCCACCATCCCATATTTCTCATCAGGAGTAAGAAAGCTCTCCAGAGGATTAATTTTCCAGGATAATATCTCCCTTCCTGGTCCACATAATGTCGCAACCATCGCTAATGGGTTTTGAAGATAGCGCCCAAGAACCACAGCTCGCCTGACAATACCTAAACATGAAGGAGAAGATAAGTATTCTCAACAGTATTACATAAATAACTCATTCAGAATATAAAGTACCAGCTTGTCCAGGAAGCTGATCTGCGGAGATGCGGGAATTTTCGTACAGATGTGGAAGAGACTCATCACCATATACAATGTTTAGATTATCCATCTCATGACCAACATCTCTAGGATTATCTTCCACCATCTTGAAGATGATCTGATAATAAAGGAGGAGATGAAACCATCAAAAATCATCTAAATTTCATTAAAAAAAAAAAAAAAACACTAGCAATTATGGAATTTTTCCTTTATGTATACCTCATAAATATCCTCCTTCAGCCGAGTACAAGACAAGTTCACAGCTCCAAGGACAACAACATGCGGTTGGTGGTCCATCATAAACTTCTGAACCCGCTGCTGATCATTTTTCTTACGTTGCTGATCATTAACATTTTGACCACGAAGACTGAGCGATCCCGCGTACAGAACATCCAAAACTTCTCCAGATGAATCCAACATCACAAAAGTTGTTGCTGGCTTCCCAGGGCCCCAACAGCAAGCCATAACCCTGGGTGCAGCTTCCTCATCAGAATTAGCATCATTTTCTTTTCGTTGATATGGTGACACAGAAACTTTGTCCCACAAAAGCTTTCCATAATCCCAGAGCAACCAGTTTTTAGCTCTACTAATCAACAGGGATCTTGCTTCCTTCTCCATTGAAGGTAGAAGAAAATTAGAAAACACGTCTTTAAGGATCAGTTTCCTCTGCTCATTCCACAATTGAGCAGATTTACTCACACCATCACTCAGATAATAATCGTTAGAGTCACTTATTAACTTATCAAGGATTGGTTCCAGTAGCTTAATGGTAACTTTCAGGAGCTTTTCCTCTTCAGCCTTTTGAATTAGAAGCCACTGTGCATCCTCAAATCTTGAAAGCGGCTTGTCCCGCAACCACTTCACTCCAGCAAACTGGTGGAAAGAATCAATTGCCACATTTCCATCAGGTGTAGGGCTTGTTGACACCACAGCATTATCCATAAAGATACTACGAACATGCTTGCGTACACAAGGTTCACAGCTAATCTCAACAGCAGCCTGGTAAGTGAAGTTAAAAATTAATACATATACCGAAGAATGAAGATCCTCTTAGAATCATGCAAATTATGGTAAATATCAGATATTTATCAGCATACCATGTGCCTAGCACCTCTGAGCACAGCCTGGGGAGTCTCAAACATCGCACAGGTGAAACTAGAAGCCATTTCTTCTGGTGTTTCCTTTGCATCCTCCAATTCATCCATTCTCTGCAATGAAATTTAAAATCCCTCTCAATCTCCCAGTTCAGAACAAGAGCGGTCAGAAGTAAAAACAAACCTACCATTTTTTCCAGAGATATCTGCAAGCCAAACTGCTCAGAACTATAGCCGAACTTACTCGCAACCTCCCATAAGCCAGCCTTACTGCAAATGCTATACTGTGATTTCCTCTTTGGCCTCTTGAACTGTCCTTCATCTGCACCAGCCTCACCCGCAGGGAAGTGCAAATTAAATTTTGAATCAACATCGTCAACCTCTCTTTCAGAATCAGCTGCCTTAAGCGACTTTGTAATTGAATCAAAAAGCTGCCTGTTCAAATTAAGCCGCGTCTCATCATAAACTCTGCGTGACTCTTCATCAAAGCGCTTGTTGTAGTATGTCTCAAGGGCACTCTTCCTTTTCTGAAGAAGAAGCCACTTTTTATCCAAGTCCAGGATTGTCCAAAGAACCTGCAGCACGCCACTCCATAACATATCTAAATAAACTTCTCAGGTACAAAAGAAGTTCAACATTTGAAATCTAATGCGCATGTCAAATTTCTGTTATCTACCTTGTGCCACCTTATTCTAGGTTTTTGGTTAGGATCATTTAAGCTCTCAATGTCAGTTTCGGGGTGATCTGGATCCTTCAATAGGCTCAAAATCTCCTCCTTCCGGTACATAGCAATAAATGGAACCTAATGATAGATCATATTAAATTATTACTCAAACTTTAGAGTTCATCTGCACATAGCGAAATAAGCACCGCTTATAAAAGAAACCTACATCTAACTTCTGTACATGCATTAATTCCAGAAATCTTGCAATGTCATCCTTGATCACTGATAGCTCATTCAGCTCCTCTGTTCCTGTGCCTCTCTTGTTAAACAGAGGCACAGCACCGGAGACGAGCTGACTATATATCCAGTCTCTCTCTTCTGCAATACTCAACTCATCTGTCGGTGGAGGACCAGTACTTTCCTCAGAAATCTATGAGGAACAGGTGAAGCATTATAATCATGATAGCAATATTGAAAACCAAGTAGATTAGCATTCTTCAGAAACATTGAAAACCTGCATTCTTTCAGGGATGTCTATTTCCCTAATCTGGTCATCCTTTTCAGTCATGTACTTCTCAGATAGAATAACAGGTTCAAATTCATCTACAAGCCTCCTTTCACCAGATCCTTCGTACCTTCCCCTCATTGCTAAACTTTGCAAGCGACGATTCAGAACTTCATTAACATCACCAAATATGTCATGCGCTTCCTGAAGAGCCGATGAAGAGATCCCAGGGGTTTGCCTAATCTTTTTGGGCTTCTTCCTTCTGTATTACAAATAGTTTAGAGAATCAACACATAAAGCTTTATCTCGTAGTGGTCCAAGTTGTAAGATGTACCTGAATGGAACTCCATGCTCATCGACTTCTTCTTCGTCAACAATAAAATCAGCCATCTCATCCTCTTCCCCGATGTCTGCATCCTCTTCTTCAAGCTGTTCATCCTCCTCAGCAATATCCTCAAGTGGTTGTCCTAGATTATTACAAACATAACAGAAATTGTTAGCAAACAGAAGATACTAACAATAAATGAAATTTTGAATGAAATTTACCCTCATCATCACCAAACAAGCTGCGTTTGAGCTTCTCCTCTGCTGAACGCCCTCCCTTTCCACTTCCGATAAACTCTTCTTCATCAGAAAACCCAGAGGTGTCTTCCCCTGTATCCCTCCGAGCTTTTTTCAGACGCTTAAACTTCTTGCTCTCCTAATCATTTAACCCCCCAAAAAAAAAATAATAATAATTAATAAATTACAGTTTTGATGGAACCACCAACCCTAAATTTCACACAGAGCACCAAAGAATGCACAAATAAAACGTACCAGTTTTGGCCGAGGAACAGAGATATTGCTTTCCTGAAGAAGCTCGTAGTCGTCCTCGTCAAGCACATATTCTGACTCCCTATTATTGTGCGATCAATGTTTATCACGTCATATTCACACTTCAGTTATTTCACTGCAAACATAGACGAGAACAAAAAAATAAAAATAAAAAATGACCCAATATATGAATAAATAACCTTTTCTTTCTTTTCTTCTTCTTCTGCCTCTGCTCGCCACTGTCAGCTCTATCTTCTTCCTCCTCTTCCCCTTCTTCCTCGACATCATCCACTATAAACCCATCTTTCTCGTATTCATCCCGCCCGTCTTCTGCTCAGAAAAAACAACACGAAAAATATTGTTCATCTCTTGTAAATTTTCCAGAACAGATGTTAAAATAGCACAACACAGAATAAAACCTTGATGAAATTAAACCAGCTATAATTTCAACTAAAGTAACATAAAAGATGATAATAGGCATACTTCCAGAAGCTAATAGACGGGGAAAACACTTAAAAAAAATTGCAAATTTAATAATGAACGAGAGACCCATATAATGACTTGATCCAAATTGCAATTTCCAGCTAAGATCGAAGCCTAATATGCAAATATAGGCCCCCAAACCACACATTCAACCACAATAAAGGGAAAAATTAATACAATGTAAATATATATTTCGAAAGAAAAGGGCAAAATCATGGCATCTGTACCATCTTCTTCATCTTCCTCGTCATCGTCATCACGGCCATCCAGTCGGTCTCTATCAGGTTCATTATCTCTCTCTTCTTCGTACACTTCAACATCATCTGCGTTCACCGCAAATACAACTATTACACATGATTTCCTATGTTCGAACAAAAAATCAAGAGTTTCTTGCATTTTCAACACCGAAATAAGATTATTCGTGCAACGAGTTTACCTTCGTCGTCGGAGATCACAGTTTTCCCAGCCATTCCCGTAAACTGATCAAATTGAACAACTTAGGGCAAAACCAAAACCCTAGAAACACATATACAATTCACAAGTAATCACACACACACTCAGCGTGTGAAATTTTTGAGTTGAAACCCTAATTCAGAGGGTTCTCTAAAACTCCCCACCCACTGCAAATAGAGAAGTGTGATTTGTACGCAATATTTTTCGTCCGTTTGGAGTATTCATTTATCCAAGTTAAAAGGAGGTCTACTAGTAAATGAATCTAATTTTAGTATACAAAATGCCATTTTTTTATTTTGTTTATATCAAACAAATATTATTCCACGTATCATTCTATTAATATTAAAAAAATAATTATGTCAAACAAATATTCTTTCACACATCATGTCATAGCATTAAAAAATAATAATAATTTTATTAAATATAAACTGTTATGAGCAAAAAAAAAAATTTCACATATAAGCTTTAAAAAAATAAACTCTCCGCACAATGCGAAAAGATGACAAATCTTGTGCGGAGTAAAAAAAGAAGAAAAAACTATCCGCATAGTGTGGAGAGATGGCAAACCATGTGTGAAGAGTTCTAACTCTCCGTATAGTGCGAAATAAAAAAAAATCTCTCACAGTGCTAAAAGATGGCATTTTGTGAGGACAGTTCGCACAATCTGTGCAAACACTGTCCTCACAAAGTACGGAGTAAAAAAAGCAAAAAAAAGCCCCGGACAGTGCGGAGAGTTGGCAAACTCTCCGTACAATGCGAAGTTAAAAAAAAACTCCGCACATTGACTATTACGTGAGTTGCACGAATTTTGCATTTATCATATTTTTATTATTGTATGAATTTTAATTTTTTGGAAAGTTTTTGAAACAATATCTATAAATATTTTCATGATATAAGAAAATAATTGTAAATTATTTTTACAATTGCATAATAGTATTGTGTCATCTAGAAAAAATATACTTCTATATTTCATACTTGAATAAGAAATATACGAGATTATACAAATTATTTTGCTTGTATTCTTTGATAGTGTTGAATATGAATATTATATATCTAAATTTTGTGTAATTCAATATTGAAAAATTAAAGATTGAGCACCATATTCATATTCATATGCATTTATATTTTGTGTTTCATATATATTTAATATTTATTTTATGCTTATGTTGAAAAAATAAAAATCTGAAAATTTTTTGAAATTCGATTTGGTAAGTGAATGTATGGTGTTTTGCATTCTCGGTATTTGTAAGTGCAAAAATCGGTATATAAAAATATAGTAAGCTGCAAATACGGTAAACAGCATATACGGTAAGTTACAAATACGGTAAGGTAAAAATACGGTAAGTTATTTGCAAATACGGTAGGCAGCATATACGATAATATGCAAATATGATAATTTTTTGCAAATATGTAGGCTGCATATACCGATATACGGTAAGTTGCAAATACGGTAGGCAGCATATACGGTAAGCTGTATATACGATAAGCTGCATATACGGTAAACTGCATATATGGATTTATAATTTATTATAAATGTATAAAATTTATTTAATATTGATTTTTTTAAGTATTAAATGTTGTAATTCAATATTATTTCCTTTTTTATAATTGTATTTCGAAGAATTAAAAAAAAGAAAAAGTGGTTATGAAATTGCTAATTTTTAAATGTGTTTTTTGTTGAAGATAAAAATGATTTTTTATGTTATTTGTAAAAAAAAAAATTTATTGTAATTTTACTAGCGTAATAAGAAGATTTATTATGTATTTTTATTTTTTACATTTTGTGAAGAATTTTGTTTATAGTGATTGACAAATATTCTTCCATACATGTATCATGTCAAGAACATTAAAAAAATAATAATAATTTTAGTATATATAAACTTTATCAGACAAAACAAAAACTCCACACATGAGCAAAAAAAAGACTCTGCAAAGTGCAGAGAAATGACAAATTATCTCTCCGCACAGTGTGAAGAGAAAAACAAAAACTCTCGTAACTTTATTTGCAAGTTTCAAGAGGCCTTTTCTCAAACAACTTTTGAGCAATGTATTGAACACTTTAATTCCTGGTTTACAACTCGAAAGTATAATTTCATTGAAAATAATATCCGCTTCTAATGTCCAAGAGCTGTTATCAAGCAAGTGTAAAATATTGAATTTGGGTGATACCCTATAGCCTCCATTTGTGAAAGTAATGTCATGGTACTATCAATATCTCTTTCTTTGCACAACTCACATATTGTTCATTATATAAATCACGAAAAAGCTCCTTTCCAATACCATAAATATGATTTTCATGCTCAGAAATTGAACGGTGACTGAAATTTAAAGAAGACATAATTGATTTTGAGCCATGTTTTTCGACTCTGTTTCGTTGTATATACGAAAAATTTAGAATATTGAAATTTGACTTGTAATTAAGGAATTTGAAAACAACTCTCCGCACTATGCGGAGAGTTTTTTTCTCTGTACTATATGGAGAGCTGATTTGTCATCTCTCCACACTGTGGGGAGATTTTTTTTTACTCCGCACCGTACAAAGAGTTTGTCAACTCTCCACATATGGTTCAATTCTCTCCGCATTTTTTTTACTCCGCACATAGTTCAACTCTCTATGCACTGTGCGAAGAGTTTTGCCATAATGCGGACCAACTCTCCGCACAGTGCGAAGAGTTTTTTTTTCTCTCCGTATTGTGCAGAGAGTTGGTTTGTCATCTCTTCGCATTGTGGGAGAGGTTTTTTTCCCATTTTTTTTACTCCACACATGGTTCAACTCTCTCTACACTGTGTGGAAAGGTTTTTTTCTCTCCTCACATTTTTTTTATTTTTATTCTGCACTATGCGGAGAGTTTTTTTTTTCAATTTTACAATATTGAATTACACAAAATTTAGAAATATAATATTCACATTCAATTCAATCATGTCAACACTATCAAATAATACAAGCAAAATAGTTTGTGTATTTCTTATTCAAATATGAAATATACAAGCATATTTTTTTAGATAACATACTGCTATGCAATTGTAAAAAAAATTTACAATTATTTTCTTATATCATGAAAATATTTTTAGATATTGTTTCAAAAACTTTCCAAAAAAACTAAAATTTATACATTAATAAAAATATGATAAATACAAAATTCGTGCAATGCACGTGATAGCGACTAGTTGAAATAAAAATTGCAAAACGTGAATAAATGAGTAAATTGTTTCAATGGCCAATCATCCATATTTTGAACAATGATTTGATATCATTTTAACAACACATTTTTCAATAGAATAATGTTACATATAAATCTAAAATATTTTCTTATTTTTTCAACTGCATATTCTCTATCAATCTATTATCCCAAATTGTATTCTTTAAAAATAATGTGGTTCAAACAAATACATAGAATGTTTATTTCTTCAATTGCTAACTGAAGTATAAGATGTCATGTTTGACGTTTAAATGTTGGACATTATTCATTGGTATAACTTTCGTTTAAAATATTTAACGAAATTGGTGATGCAGTTGATGTCATTAAACTTTGACATGATGAAATTTTCGTAAACTAAACTTTGAAGAAATTCTTCAATTACTCATTGAACTTTATGGTAAATGAAATTTGCCACCATGCTTTGAGATGGTCTAATTTTGGGCACTAAACTTTGAAAAAGCCTTCGATTGCATACTAAATATTAAAAAGCGTCCTCTATTACTCGCTAAACTTTGAAATTGTCGAATTTTAACCACTAAATTGTAAAAAAAGTATCCTATTGCTCACAATAAATTGAATTTATTCAAGAAACGTTCAACATTTTTCAAAGTTTAATGGTCAAAACTTAACGTTTTAAAGTTCAGTGAACAATTGAAGATATAGTCCTTGTTTGAGCCCCCAGTTTTGGGGAAAAAACATTCTTGAATAGCATTTGAACCATATTTCAATATAATAATATTACATGCAAATCTAAAATATATTTTTTTTATTTTTTAACTACACATTTCATATCAGTACACTATTCAAAAATACATTTTTTTGACAAAAATGGGGCTCAAACAAATGCATAGATATAAGCTCAGTGACCTTGAAACAATAAAATAGTTAATATAACAATTCGATACATACATTTTATGGTACAAACTAACAAACGTGATCATAGTACCAAACCCGATTGAAAGAACAAGAATATTAATTAATAACGACTATTAATGCGACATGTTTATTAGGAAATCATGTGTATTGAAAAGAAACTGCAAGGTAAAGAATCAGTCTACAACAGTAAATTAGAAATTCTAAAGACCAATTCAGTGTAAGAAATCGAGCACTTTTGGGTGCTTATTTTTTTTCTCTCAAGCAAAATTAGTCACCCAACAATTCAACATGTCAACATAAGTCCATGTATTATGGCTTTTAACATGCAATTTGCATATGAATTTCTCCCTATACAATTGAAATGGGATTTCTATTTATAATTTATCAGAAGGAATTGTAATCTACCTATAAAGTACCCATTTCAAACTTCTCTCTCTTTTATGAGAAGAGAATTAGTACTACCTGAAGGATACTTACATAATTTCTAGGCATTACTCTTTAGCATCGAAAACCTAATGGTTGTCTTTCCTGCAACACTTTTGAAATTTTTTGAACAAAATGTACAAATTAATTCAATAAGTTAGCTCTGGGATGACTTTAGTTTCTTTCTTAAACTTGATGATGTATTCGGTAGCAGAGAAGGAAATAGGAGAACTGAAATAGATAGTAAGGCAACTTCAAAACAAAAGGGAAAAAGTATAATAGACTTCAACTCTGCACTTATTGTGGAACCAAATACATTTCTTTGCATCACTATGAGCTAAAGATGCAAAGCTTGTTATGGAATATTTTGGTTGATCTACATAGCTAGGAAGAGAACACCACAAGCCCTTTGTTTTACGAAACTGGAAAGGAAAAAGGGGGAGAGTTGAGAAGAGAATTTACTTCAGACCTTGCCAATACAAGGCAAGCTTGACTTTTCCTTGTTGTCTTTCTTACTCGTACGCTTTCAAAATGACATGAACTCCCTACTCTAACATGATAGGGATATTGATGCACACGGGTTTCCTTACAGGTCAACCGAAAGAATAGACATTAAGTGTAGCTTCTTTTCTTAAGGGGACATTTTGAATCTTTTCCTCTTAATTTTCCATCCTTCAAACAATGATAGATTTGAGGTCATCTGAGCTTATCATCCCCTTAAATTTGGT